AAAAAAAAAAAACGCTGCTTTTTTCGTGAAGTATTAGGTAATTAAAAAAATTATTACTATTAATAAAAACTAATTAATGATGTTTGAATTTGACCAAAGAGATGAACTGTCATTTTTAAAAAATGGTAAATCTTATTATATATATAGATTATATTAAATCGTTATCATTTTTAGTTTCATATTTCATAAGATATTTACTAAAGAATGAAAACATCACCGGAAACAGCAACAAAGAGAATGAAAACATCACGTGAATCATATAGATCTTTAGTAAAATCATTTTTACTAAAGAGAGAATGAAAAATTCACGGGAAACAGCAACAAAATATTTACAAAATGAAATAAGTTAATTTATTCAATCAACATAAGTGCTAAAACCATCAAATTTGATAGTCAAATAATACTATTAGCAATCTAAAAAGACAAATTTGTCTTGAAAATGGCAAGTAGAATGTTTCAACAGATTCGTTCAAATCCATATAGATAATGTGTATTTTAATACTAAATCCCTTCAATTAAGGGATTAGTTGTTTCTATAAATTATCCTAAAAAATATTTTCATTAATGGAAACTAATTAATGATGTCTGGATTTGACCAAAGAGTTGATCTGAGTTTTTTTAAAAATGGTAAATCTATATATCTCTCTTATATCTTATATGGAGAAGTGAGACGTTTTCTGCTCTTGACACGTGTCTCATTTCGCCTATCTCGCTGTTCGACACGTGTCTTTATTTAACCCGAGAATGCCCTTAATGTGGACTGGTAATTACGGAGATGCCACTTTAGTGTAGTAGTGAATTTACACGATAGATTTGACAGCAACTTCGCTTTCTTCATGTACCCTTTTTTTAGGTTGAATTGTGTCGCATTTTCTTTCTCCTATCCTTAATTTATAGCTAATCTCTTTACCTCTTGGCTGCCAAACTTCTTATTTTCCAAATTCTCATCAGAGCACCGTACATGAGAAGCGATTCATGGAAAAATAGATCCACCGTTTTTATGTCGACTCGAAATTTGGGAGTCCTCATCGTCGTCGAGAACTTCAGGTTCTGTCGCCGTTTTTCGTGATGAACTAGAGCGCCATCAGCGAGGCCATCGCTCCGGCCAACAGGTGGGAGAAAAAAAAACGGGCCCTGCTCCGCGAAGAAGGTCGAGACCGCCGTCATCGGGCCCGCGCTGAACCTGAGACTCCCCAGCCTGACTACGAAGAAAGACTCCGCGGGGCCACGCGGCGGCACCAGAATCATCGGCTCGGCATCTTAGGTAAAAAACAAGAAAAAAGGAACGATCTTTATGTACGAAATTGCTGTTAGTTAGAAAGTTGGAAATGTTTTTGATTGTTTGTTGGAAATGTGATGGATGAACGCCGACTCACAATTTCCAGTTAGACATATTGGTAATCGTAGAGATTAAATGTGCAGCCCATCGGTTTATCTTGTTCAGGACTTAATTTTGAAGAACATATGAATGCCTTTTTTTAGGTCATTTGTAACTTTCATATGTTCAAAATCTTATGAAAATGCACAAAATGGACAGGGCCAAATCTGAATGGACTGTTTGGAAGGCATTCTACTACGCTGGGGTATTCTTACTCTGCTGCCAACAAAAACATGGTCGTCAATTGGGAAGAGAAGACACTGTTCGATTATCTGCTCAACCCCAAGAAGGTACAATTTTTCATTTTGATTAGGATATTTATTGAATTCTTTTTTGTCTTTTTCTCCACACAGGATTAGGAACACACATGATATGAATTCCTCTTAAAAGAGTCTGTATTTCATATTGCTTGTTTCATTGTTTGCTGCTTCTTCTGACTGTTTTGGTGAAAGACAATATGAGAAAAAAATAAAAGAAAAGAGAAGAAAGAAAAGAAAAAAAGATTACAAATTAAAAGAAAAAAGAACATTTAAATTCTATCAATTTGAGATTCTTCATGGCCAACAGGCACTTTGATACTCTGCTTGGCCTACAGGCTGAGTTATTTCCTTTGTTCACCAACTTTGCATCTTACTTCGGATAATATTCTCGTTTGATGGAGATGATTAATTTTGTGAGGATAATTACAGAGCATATAATGTCTTATTCAGAATCGATTTAGCATTGAGTTAAATTCAAGAAAGCTGATTGATGTGGAGAATGACATTCTGTGCCTTATTCAAGCTTCGAATGTTTAGCAACAACTTCTTTATCCTGTAATTTTCTTTTGTATGCAGTATATACTTGGAACAAAGATGGTTTTCCCAGGACTGAAGAAGCCACAAGAACATTGGGACCTTATTGCATACTTGAAGGAGTCTACAACAAACTGAGTGTGTCACATTTTAGTTTTCTTCATATTATTTGTTTTGCAGTTGAGAGGCAACAATTACTTGTATGAGAAGTAGATTTTATTTTTTAATTAAAAGAATAAGTAAAATAAAAAGAGCCAATATGGCAACAATTACTGAAATATGGTTCTTTTCTTTCTCTCTCTCTCTCTCTCTCTCTCTCTCTCTCTCTCTCTAATTTTACTTGGTGGTTTAAATATGACCAATGTTGCTGCAGAATGATTTCATTTTTTTCCTCCCTCAGTTATTGTTAAACGTTACAATAAATTGATGGTTGTGTGCAGTCAACACATATGGCTTCCCAACAGATCACAGAAAAAGTTGTGTACTTGTGCACAAGAATCCTTTGCCTACAGACATCGAAGATTTGCCATTGACTCTTAAACGAACCTTTTGCCCATAGCTGCAAAAGTATGCTTGT